AAATCAAGATGTCCTTTCGATTTGAACGAAGCTAGATTTGAAAATACCAGGGAATGATTGTAGAAATTATATGAATACTGTATAAAAAGTTGAAATGAGCACGCAGTAAAGATGAAACAAAACTTGCATTTGGAAACGCCCGAGTTCGGAAAAGATGAATCTAAGAGATTCAGAAAAACGACATGTAATGTTTTATCACTGTATCATTTCCCCTTATTGTAGCTACATTCGACACGCGCGAAAACGGCTAATTTGATTGCCGAAGTTGTATGGATTTTTGGAGGGACACCATATTGATTGTATGTGACAGAATGAAAGAGTGCAGTAGATCCGTCAGTTAGAGAATTCAAGGAGGCATAGGCCGTCCCTTTAAAAGAAAGTAAAATAATTTTTTATCTTCTAAAAAACCGCTTTATAAAATTCACCAATATATTTCACTTCTATGACGCGAAATGAGTTTTAATTTGTCTTTATTGTACAGGAAAATGATTGGTATCAGGTAAATATATATGCAAAGTTCTCTCTTTGACGTTGTTGATCAAATAGGTTTAACTTGGGCTGATTTACAAAATAAATTTTGTAACGTGAGTACATTTTGAAATTATAAGGATAAGCGAGATAAAAATATTTTAGGGTGACAAAACTCATTTTGTTTGTGTCGTGAGCTTTCCCAAAGTTATGAGTCAGACCAAGAAAGACATGGTCCCTTCTTCTTTACTGACGTGCTGGCAAAAGACTGTCAGAAACAGACCATTGTCCCGGAGAGATGTGCGGTTAAACGAGAAGCTATATTTTCAAAAAAAGATATGTCCAGACAAATGGTAACTATTGTAGCTTGGTCATTTAAAAGGATACCACAATGTACCCCTTAAAACTCGCAAACAGTTTGTAGTGAAGAAATGGTGGATTCATGAGGGTATGGATGAGTGCATGATAAAGAAGAAATGAATAAGCAGACACATGAGCAGTGAAATGATGCAGCTTATTATGTGAGTAAAGTAAGTAACGCAAGTATAAGTAATGGAACAAAATATGTAAGTACTGAAAGTAATATAAGAGTACATTAAAATGTAAGAAATGCAAATGATGTAAATACTGTGAATAACGTAAGTGTAGGCAATGTAAGCAATGCAAGTAATCGCAGTAATGTAAGTTTTTTTTGGCTTGGTTTAGTAAATATAATACTTTATGTCGCTCGTAACTGCACAAGGTCACATGAACGCGTTGGGCACATTAAATATTGTGGTAGGGCTTGATTTTGAATGTTGCTCTGGTGGCGGCCAAAGCCTACTCTTATCGAATTTAGGATCATCAGGGGATCATTAACGTGTGCAACGTGCACGCTTGACCTCCGAGATTTTTCGCCCTTATCAGAGAAGGCTATGTGCTAGATCTTACCTACCATAAGATCAGGGGTGTGGCTGGGAAACATCAGAAAAAGGGCCTAGGGGTAGCAGTAGAAAGGTTGCAGAAAGAGTCAAGAGCCCAAAGGAGGGGGCAAAGTGGGTTGAGGATGGGGTCAGAAAGTGGAGACGAAAGCAGACGACAGAACATGGTTAGAGAACATGAAAGGAGATGACAGGAGAAACCTTTAGAGAAAAAATGTTCCGTCGCTGTCAGGTTTCAACCCCGATACCAATTGAATGGGAGACGAACACCGTACCTCCAGACCACGAGACCCTCCCGCCCCAGTAATGTAAGTATCTATTATCTTTTTGTGGTGGCCGAATTTTGCTATTCAAAAGGCTTTTTAATGGCTGCATCGATCGACATGCGGTTTCGCCAAAACATTCTTTAAAATATTCTCCAGAGCATGGCGCCCTTGGTTTTTTTCCAGTTTTGAGACAGTTTTGCTGCAAAAAGCTAAATTTCTTTATTTCGCCGATCGCTTTAGTAGGCCGACGCTTCTGTCTCTGTAATTTTAGAAAATCCGGAAGTGATATTTCGCGAGGCGCGTTTTGTTTTGAGAGTATAGATCTAGACCTTATAATTTTTTGCCTCTCTCAAGATTTATTGCCCCATTCCATTAGAGTGTAAATATAGTAGGCCAATGACTTTTAGTTGATATTAAAGCACCGGCCTAGACGGCCAGAGAACGGTTAGTATAAGAACATATTATAGGCACCGCCGATCATTCCTTTCATCGAAAGGGGGCCCAGCTAGTAGTAATATAAGAGCAAATAATGTAAACGTAATAATGAAAGTGAAAGTGATTTCGCCCTCACCGACACACGTCAGATCATTTGGAAGGGGGGTAGCGTGGGGGAAGGGGGGGGGGCAGGTTGCTATGACTCTAAGTTTTAAGGTATGCCGTGGTGGATTTAGAGACAACACGCTATCAGACATTCAGAAATACTTACTAAAACACGACTTCTACACGTAACGGCAAGGAGCCAAATACGGGGTGCCCACTACGGTTGGATCGGGCCGATCGCCCGACTCGATCGCATGAAACTGAAAACAAACACGTTTGTTTTAGAGGCGATCGAGTCGGGCGATCGGGCCGATCCCGTCCGTACTGGGCACCCCGTATAACGGGTACACCAAACACCACTGTACATAAGTAACTGAAGGAGAAAGTAAGTAATTGGATGATTATGTATTATACCAAACACGCACGGCATAGCCCCCTCCCCTCACATACATACATATACACACGCACAC